ACTAAGAAAACTTCAACAGTGTTTGTTAAGGTAATGTTCATTTCAATTTATCATATATTCTGATAGTAGCTATAAACCTGTTTTTTGCTGATATAAGTAGCAATAAGAAATACATCAAATAATGAAAATGATATTAACTGGAGAAGTGCTCGAAAAAAACGGACACATCTTTTTCTTAGAAAATCAATACAAAAATTTTTATTTCGATTAAAATAAACTAAAATACTCCCGAAAAAGCAATAATTCCAAAATCGAAGAAGAAACAATGTTATACATAAAAAAAATCCATTCGTACAGAATTTGCAAAACTATTGATTGACTTTAATTAACAATAAAAATATGTGACACTAGAAGTTTTTAACTAAATGGCTCAAACACTCGCACTTGATATTCATCTTCCCTTCGCACTTTATGTCGATTGTTCCTTCGGCCTCGATATCGTCTGTTTCTTCGTACTTGATCCTTCGTATAATTCAATACTTTTCGTAAATATTTTCTCGAAATAATAAGCGGTTTGTTTGCGTCTTTTTCGACATTCATTTTTAATGAATATCGCTGGTTAAACCAAGGTTGATTGAGACCTGATCCACTCAAATATCGAAAATCAATTAGAAATAACGGTATAATTTCTGACACATGTGATAAAACTAATATGTTTCCATGAGAACGTTCAACTAAACCAGTTTCATTACGTTTCGGTAAAGCTGCACATACTAAAATTGTATTGGTAGTATTGCTATATGATAAAGAATAATCAGCAGTTTCACTACAATAAATTCCTGAACCATATGCACTACCATTTTGTGTAGCAATGATAGGTGCTTTACTATTAGTTGGATGTGGTTGATTTGGTATTAAAAAACCATAATGAAGAATACTTTCGATATTAGTTAATTTTGTTCCATGATAAACTAAATGTGGATAATACGAAATATTTTCATTAAATCGTTTCATAAAATCATTTTGAACAGATTTATCGATTGGTGCAAGACGAATATTAATAATTTCAATATTGGATTGATGTTTAAAAGAAGATTTAATTTGTTGATGATTTACGCCATAGAAATGACGACGAAATGTATTGAAATCATGTGGACGTACAGTTTGAAGTGATAAATTGGGTTGAGCACAATCTGATTTCGTTCGAAATTGTTTATCACATTCGAAAAAATTTATTTCGTTTTTATCTTTTTTTGGTAGATAACGAGTATAACGAAATATTTTTTGTTCAACTTTTAATGTTTTTTTGTCATCGATACCATAAATTTTTATTAATGGATGTTGAGATTTGAGAGTTTTTCTTGAGATTGGATATGAAGGTATTCTCATTTTTTGTTTGTTCTGTTTTTTGGCTTTTGAAAATTGACGAAGTTCAAATAAATCAATTTGATATTCAATTTCTACATTATCTTGACTTGAATTATAATCAAAACCAAAATAATAATTATCTGACGCCATATTCTGACTATATTTCAGAACGAAAATTAAGAAAATAGTAATGAAAATTACTCTATTCTAACGAATTATAACAAAAAGAACTAAAACCACAATATATATAATGAAAAGTTATGTAAGAACAGAAAAACTTGCGAAAGATACGACACATTGCTTCAATGACTCATTTTGTTGACATTGCATCGTTTGATAGAAGTGGATTGCGACATTACAAAAATATTTTTGTATAGTTGGCTATCGGTTGGATGTGGGTGTGGTTCTTGTGTACACTTACACCCATCCTTATAATGTTTCAATCGATGAAATTATTCAACACATTGTTGAAGAAATAAAAAAGAACGAGAGAATTCTAATGAGCGTTATCAAGCATTAAAAAAAACAAATGATCAACTTTGATTAGGTTTGTAAGATTAATTATTAAATTTTCTTTGTTTTTTATTTAGCAATTTGTTTTTTGGTATATAAAATCAGAAGATATTAACGAATCAATTTGTCAATCTTATATAAATACAGTTAATGAACTTTATCAAGAATTACCTACAAATGAAAGAACAATATGCAAAACATGATCAAATAAATAAAGAACTAATTATCGAAAATGAAAATTTAAACAATCACGTAAATGATTGATCTATAGTTGCTGGTCATCATTCTCCAGCAGAAAAAAAGTTTTGTTGAACAAACAAATTCAATTCAAAACAATAAACTAAACAGGTTCTTTTCTTCTATTTCTTTTAATATATTTATTAACTGTTTTTTTTATTTTAGTCTCAACTTCAATCCATAAATATTCCCAATGTAAATCTATTTGAAATAATTGATAAATATACTCAATATGAACACAAAGAACCAAAATATATGGCTACTGGAACAATTCCATTAATTTATAAACATTCACCATACACAAATGGATCCAATTGATATAAATCATCAACAAAGTCAAACAAAAATATTTCATCAATTCTTACCTTTCGTAAGTTATCGAAACTTCATAGATTCAGAAGAAGTCCAATGAAACCGTTTTATTTCTATAGTTGCACAAATTTTAAAGATCTAAGAAATATTGCCAATCAAAATCTGAAACGACTAAAGAAAGTAGGGATTAATGAGAATGAAGAAAGAATATTGCCAAGTGGCAGATTAAGTAGCTCAATAGCTTTTTTTTACAAGTAAAACTAGCTGTAACTCTGAATGCATACTGTTTGCATTCAATCGTTTGAATAGCTCGTACACATTGTCTGACTACATACTTACTACGAGTGTTGGTGTATGTCAGAACGTAGTAAACGTCCTGTCGAACGGATGATCCGAGGCAAACATCCCTTAGCAACTTGTCCAGCATCATTCGATGACTGATAGTACCGAGCCTACTGGATCCACATTGAACAACATGGCTACTTAGTCATGACGGGATGACTAACATGTAAACAATTTCATAGTCATTGTAACAGAATAAATTTAATCGGTCGTGAATGCCTTGAAAACATTTTAATAGAGCGAAAAATTCTATTTTGGTTTTCTTTTAACACAACGATGAAGATCCTTTAAATACGAATGAAATTAATAATCAATTAAATAACTTTTCAATCATCTATAGATCTTTCAAATAATCTTAATAAAGAATGTCAAAAATTTTATCTAAGCAAAATTTGAAATTAACATCAATTCCAAACCTTGAACTAAATCATTTAGCATTAATTACAGTTTAATATCTATGTCAACAAAATTTATCTGATAATGCTAAAGAATTATATAATGAAACTTCTACAAGCACTATAACAAGAATATAATTTATTAACAAATGAAAAAAAATGATTTAATTGAACAAATAAATTCTATGCACGAAAAATTTCAACAAATTGAACATGAACGTTTCTATACAAAAGTAATAACTAAAAATTTTAAATGTTAAAAAAAAATGATAAAAATTATGAACAATTAGAAAAAGAATTTAATCCACTTTTAAATGAAAATTAATTATTAAAGGATTATAATGCACAAATCTATCAAGATAAATTACAACATGAAATCGAACATGTTATGTTTAGGGTGTGGGTGCGGCTGCGAGCCTTTTCTTCTGTGATGAACACATCCACACCCTAAAGATTACTTTAAATTAAATTCGGATTCATTATTAAATTTCATACCGATAAATGTGGTACATAGGATGCTGCACAAATGTCAGATGGATTATATCATAATTTAATGGATGTTCATCAATCGGATTTTTTTCACAAACACTTAATACTCTTCATATCTAAACAAAATAATAATAAAAAATAAGTTTTTATTGTTTTTTGTTCGTCTTCTAAAGTAATTGACCCAAAATTATGTTTCATTTAACAAAAAATAAACTGAATTGTTTTCAAATAAATCAAAAAAACATGAAAAATTTCGATCAACAAATTTGATATCTTGAGTGCATTAAAGATATGTTTTCATTGTTGTTTTTTGGTTTATTTTAAAACCTTTCAAGGTTGAAGTCGAGAAAGAATAAGAATGTTTGGTTTGAAAATGAAATAATTCAAGAATACGTCATGGAACAGATAATAATATTGAACGAAATTTTTCAACAACTTCTCCAAATTTTCCATTTGTTGTTAAACGATAAGCGATTTGAAGACGTCCAACTGCTGGATAAAATAATTTTGGTGAATGGGCTTCACGCCTTAATAATTAAAATAAAAATTTAAAAATATTTATTAAATAAACAAATAAATACAAACCAATTTCTTAATGAAATATGCATATAATGATGGTAATGATGGAAGTACTGTAAAAGCTGTACCTGAACGCAAATACATATTTGAATAAAAACATACAAGATCAAGTGGTAATTCAATTTCAGTATCACCTCTACCATCATCTTGCTTATCTTGATTATTATTAAGATTTTCTCTATTAAGATCATCTTTATCACCTTCAATTTGTACTTCATGATGAGTCCAATCTCCACCACTTGTTGCTGTTTCATCAATATGAAGATTTACAGCAAGTTTTGTTGTTATATTTGATCTTAAATCTGCTGTAGTTGGTTGACTTCCTTTGATCATTACGCCTTCAAAAATCCTTTTGATACAGCTAACAATGGCCAATTCGATTCTTGTTGACTTATTAGACATGGTGGTAAAATTAATTCCGCATTTGGACTTATTTTAGGTAACTAAAAGAAATAAATATTTTATTTTGAATTATTAAATTTAACTCGAGCTTAATATTGATTAATGAATGTCTATCTGATTATTTCATATCTAACATATCAATTAAACAAAGAATAAGTAATAATAACTTGATTGAAGTCTCAGACTATCGGTTTATTCCATTTTTGAAATAGAATATGAAAAGTCTTCTTATTTTTTAAAAATCTACATTCTAATTAATATCAATTTTCATCAAGTAATTCTAGTGCATAAAAAACGAAACGAATTTAATAATTTTTCTCTTAGAAAAGAAGAACAATCTCAAATGTTACTTTGAATGCATTGTCTAAGAACTTTAATATGTTCTTCAACATCTCCATATAGCATTGTAATTTGAAATAGTCCACTAACATCTTTTCGTACTTCAGCTAAACCAAAAACAAAATATAAACAACAAGAAATTTTTCAAACTAATTTTCATCATTTTTCCAAAATTTCTCGTAAGTAAATAAAGAAAAGCTAATTTTTTCCAACAACGTTTATCATCTAAAGGTCGAACAGCTTCCAATGCAATCAAAAATAATTGAAACTAATTTTCAAAGAACAAAAAACCACAATTAATTTACATCAATATTTTCACATTCAAGTGCTAATCCAAACCCTTTATTTTTATCTTTTACAAAATGAAGTGCAATTTCTGGATAACTCTTCTTTTGAAGATAAGCAATAATGATTTGTCCGACTAATTTTTCTGTTCGAACCATATGACATATTTTAAAAGATTTTTCGAAAAAGAAATTTGTAAATTTTACTTCATCGTATTTTCTATTACTTTAACTTTTGCTATATAAACAGGTAAATTAAGTGTACAAATACTTTCATGATCACCATTAATGAGTGCATATTTAATATCATTTGATGTTGTATAAATAAAAATACCTGAAGCATCCTAATAATAGTAAGTAATTCATATTATTTAACCATATTGCATATTTAGCTTTGCCTATTCTTACATTTGTTAATGAACGTTTTTGTTGAGCATCATATAAACTAATATGATAATTTTCACGAATTAATAAAAGACATATACCACCATAAAAAATTTAATCAAAAAAAATTTAAACTTACAACATGATTTTTCTCAAGGACAACAGATTGATTTCGAGCAGCCCATACGCGGTATTTAAATCAGACAAACGGGAATCTCCAAGTTCTGGAAAAGAAAAATATAGATTTAAACTATCGAATAATTGAGATAAGATATCTCTCTTTTTTCAAAATGTCAGACTTTTTTAAGGTGAATCATTAATTTTTTTCTCATATTCGAAGATATCTAATAAGAATAAACTGACTTTCAATTTAATGTTTATGGAAGAAATCAGAATCGTCATCTATTAAAATTGTTTTCATTTCGAATACATCATACCATCCAGAGTTCATGTTGAATTTGTTGATTCACTAGCATCTTTTGAAATAGTATAAAGATTATAAATAGAATTATCTGATTGAGATGGTACACGCGGGCCACTAACATTTCTTTTAAATAAAATAAAACAATCTATTTTAAAAATTCTTAGAAAATTTACTTTCGTGATTGCATAAGAGGAACATCTTTTGATGTTATGATTTCTAATCGTCGTAAATATTTCTCTTTAAACATAACAAACAAGATTTCCAACAAAAGCATAAACTGGTCGTTCACGTTCCGATTTAAATACGATCATTTCATTATCATGACCTAAAAAACAAATATTTTATTATATTTTATTTTTAATTTTTGAAAACGAAAAGAATCTAACCAGTAGCAAAATAAATTTAATATTGGATGAACTGTTAAAATCCAAAATTGATCATTTTTACAATAATTTAATTTAAATTGAATTAAAATAAAACAAACCGTTTGATCATATGCAAAACTCAAATTGATTTATATGTATCGGTTTTCCAAGCTTTATTTTCATTCATACGCCATAAGGGTGGGGATGTGGGTGTAGGTGTGATTGAAGATATCCATACACTCCCACTCACATTCACACCCCACACTCACCCTCGAAGGAAGCTTCCCAAGTGATAAATCGTTTTCGAGTTCGGACTCTATGCATTAAGTAGATCCCAGTGAAGTATGAAAACCCCCAAAAGGATACGTTCCTTTGGACATTCCATCTGAAGTTATGACTATTTTAGCAGAATTTTAGACTATAGCTAGGTATGTACCAACAAATCGAATGATGTTATTTTGAGCTGAAATTTTGTTCACAGATAGGTATGCTCGTGACTATATCAATACATACCAACTCTGTATATGCGTAGTTTTATCGTTATCATCACCATCAGTCGAGCTGATAAAGCAAAACTACCTAACTCAAGGGGGAAAAAACTGATTTAAATCAGCTTTAAACTCATTTTAAATTACAAAAATCAAGTAAACTCATTTTAGATCACGAAAATCATTTTAACTTATTTTAAATCACGAAACTCGCTTTAACTCAGTTTAAATCACAAAAATCACTTTAAGTCATTTGTAACTCGCTACAAATCGGAAAACGGCGAGCTGTAAGTTTATGATTTAAAATGAGTTTCTGTGAGTTTTGTGATTTAAAATGAGTTTAAAGCCGATTTGAATCAGCTTTAAACTCATTTTAACTCAGAAAATTCACACAAACTCATTTTAAGGGGGAACCCCCCCTCAGAAACCTATCTTCTAAACGGTTCAAGAGATTTCGATGAAAATTTCAGGAAATAGAAAAGCTAATGTAACTAGCATCTGATAAAAATTTGAACCAATCATTTTTGATAATTGAGGAGTTATACTCAATTTACTCATGAAAATGGGGCTTTTGGCACGGAACATTTTCCCGAGGCGCGATAGCATGGAAAATGTTGAAATTTGTTTCAAAATGAAGAAAAATCTTTTATCTAGAAATTGTGGGGACAGTTTTTTGAAATTCATCTTTGTTCAATAGTAGTGATCATTTTAAATCGAAAATCGAAAAAACTGCTTTGATCTCTTTCAAAGATTTTCTAATATCTGAACAACGGAGATATATTTTAGAAATCTGTTCCGACAATTTCTAGAAAAAAGTCTCATCTTTTGAATAAAAAAAATATCAGCAGCGTACGTCAAACAGTGGACTGGGAAAATGTTCCGCAGTGATCAGTAAACGATAAAAAAGTGAAGCTGAGAAAAACGAATAACAACATTGCGAAGTAGTTGATGATGTTCCTGTGTAGAAAATTGGAGCATATTATATATCATTGGAAAGTGTGTAAAAAGGTCTTGCAGTTGATGATGCTTTCAAGAAAAAATTAAGCTAATTTCTAAATCCAAGTTTACTGTAGCGCCACCTTTTCGAAAAATAACCTAATTTTGAAGCTTCCTTCTCTGACTGCAACAGATAGAACATGATTACTTGATACGTCGATGGTTTTATACTTCTGATAAAGAAGATGGAACGATATTAATTACCGGTAACTAAGGAAAAAAAATCAACACAACAGTCGATTTTCCACTATGACTTCCAATAGACGCCCCAGAATTTGGCAAAATATGTTCCATTCTTATATAATTTATACATATTCTGAAAGAGGACACTCAGGGCTACTAGAATATGTGTTTTTTCAAAAATCGAGTTTTTTAAGAAAAATCGACTTTCTGAGGGGGGGTTCCCCCTTAAATCATATAACTCAGATAAACTCATTTTCAATCATAAAACTCAAGTAAATTCATTTTAAATCACAAACTCACAATTTGCTTTTTCCCCCTTGACCTAACTGACACATGCAGATTTATTTGATATTTAATTTATGAAATTATGCAAAAACAATTATGAATAATAATGAATAATTCAATATTATATAATCTTTTCAAACGTTAATGTTATCTTTCTTGATTACGTTTTTAGCCTTTTGATGATGATGACTATCAAGCTAAGATGATTCCCCTGGACGATTTAAGCATCAAAATGATCCAGAGAATGTCGAACAACTCTTAAAATACCAATTCTGTTACATGACAACCAATTTTAAGAAGGTTTGAACAAGTTGGATCAAAAATTTTCAAGGTCAAAAGATTGCTTGAATCTATAAAATCAAATTAATCACATGAAACAAATAAAAAAAGCTCCCTTCTTAAATATCGCAGTTTATTACACGCCTTGAGATGTTGTTTTACAGGAAGTACGAAATTCTTGTTCTTAATTTTAGTAGAAAATTTTTCGATGAAAGGACAAATGAAATGCACGATTGAAGCTATTATCAATACATCTGCCTGTACATAACTATTTAAATTTCTCCGGTGTTGTTTATATTACTATTCATTCAATACAGAAAGTAAAATGAGATTTCGAATTCCTTTTGATGTGCAAAACCTTTGTAGAAATGAATGCCTTTTTTTCATTGAAGAGCAGAATATGACTAATCAGTTCTTTCAGGGTGGATTTTTTTCGATCAAAACGTGGTTCTTCAGCTAATCTGTTGTATTTGTTCAAAATGATTCCATGAAAGACCTATGATAATGCATCTGGAGAAGAGAGTGAGAGATGATGACATTAGTGGTGGGCAGTTCAAGAATGTACCATTGACGAACGTTGTAATCGATAGAAACATAAAAAAAGAAGACTGATAAGAATCTTTATAAAGAGTAGAAGTGTAATACTGAAAATGATTAAACAAAAAATAGACTGACGTGCACTCAATTCACTGCAAATCAGTCTGTTGTATAATGATGAAACAGAAGTAAATATCTAAGTTTTATTACATATCATCGTTGTTTTCTGAAGTCGTACGAAATTATATAGAATTTTGTAGCTTTAGTTTTTTTAACTTACTGATAGATGAGATATCGTAATACTGATATTGTATCGGTTGATCTGTTAATAGTTTTTTATATTGCAAAAACATAAATAAAAGATGAATGCGTAGGAGAATACTGTGTTGTGTTCTGTGTCAAATATAGATTGATAATATCTCAATAGAATTGGTAGCTTCTAATATATATATATGATATAGCCCTTTTACTGGGTACATTTTTGTTCTCTTTATTTGGTTGGCTTTTTCCAAGCATGTGTCAATGTTTTTGTTCCAGCGATATCATTTGATTACATCAGGTGTTTTTGATTCTCGTTCGTCACTTAGTCGAACATAGACACAATCAATTTCTTTTTTTCTTCTTATACTTTTTTTTCCTCGAGTATCTACATGTGATGTAATACCACGTGGAATTTTCCATTTATCATCATTATACATTTATGTTGGCATTTCCTTAGTTTTATCGTTCATATACATGCATGTAGTTTCTTCTAACTAATATCGGAATTTTCCCCAGCATAACACTTCGTGTGTATTTATAGCATAGATCATTGATTAGATGCCTTATTTGAAGTTTCCGAAAATTCATTTGAATTTCTGGAAGCTTGTATCATTTTCTGTGGATGGATATAGAGGAGGTATAACGACGTATAAGGAGGTGTAGGAATTGATTTTTTTTTGAGCAGAGCTGGGCAAGTGGCACCAATATATTTTACGAATAGATGTTTTAATTCAAATGCTATTGGATGATCAGCTGTCCCTATTAATCAATATCTTCAGTATCTTCTATACCTCCTCTATATCCATCAACAGAAAATGATACAAGCTTTCTGAAATTCAAATAAGACATCATACGAGATCATTCGTGCTATAGTAGATATAAGAGTTACATACTGTTACGTACAATTGTACTTTTAGTATCTTTTGTCTTTTGTATATAAAAAAGATTCATTTAAACTTATTTCATCATCATCGGGCCTGGCATTAATACGTGACAATATTTCTCATATATACTAATAGGCTGTGACGCATCTCATATTTGTTAAATGACGATAAGTAAGAGAGGCGATAATTTAGATAAAATAGTAAGTTTTCAATGATCAAAAGGAGGGTGTGGGTGTGGGTGGATGTGGATGCTAGATAAGAAGAGACACTCACACCCACATCCACACTCTACACCCACATTGCAGATTTTTTCTAAACTTTATGCGACGAGACTCAATATTCCAATAGATATTTTCGTTCTCGAATTGTATTTGTAGCATATGCAGATCACTTGGATTTACTTTGTGCTTGTCTCTGATGAATGTGACGAATCTTCGCTGGT